TTTTCCCCTAACCATTACACTTATTTTTATTTTACTGAAGCATTGCAAGAGGATCTTTTTTGTCTTGTTTTCCACTTAATCTCAATTTTCCAAATGTAGTGTTCTGAAATGCATTAAAGTGTTGGAAGTGTTGACATAATGATAAATTTTGATTCAGTGACCTCTGTATTTTATGATGGAAGAACCCTCCACTTGGAACAATCGCAGAAAGCTCTGACAATTAATGCTCATCTCATCTGCCATCCCAAAAGCAAAAGGAAATGAGTTTGCCAAGAGATGCATATATCAAGTTCAGAGATTTTCTTAGGTGTTCATCAGTAACAAACCCTGTTAAATAATAAAGAGCACTTCAGGTTCTCAGCACTTTGCAGAAATTAGCTCTTAGTACTTAATGCTGCTCGGAAAATTCTCCAGTGTTCAAAATGGACATTTCTCACCTGCTAAAGCTGGCTGCTCCAGGAAAATCATCTATTTCTTATGCAGAGCCTTCCATACATAACTCTTACAGCCTTTCATAAAGATGGGTATACAGGACTGTGATGCCTTTTTGCTAGTGGACTTGAAGATCTTGAAGGTCTTTTCCAACCACAAAGACCCTGTGATTCTTTGCTTCTACAGTGAGTTTTAGAGAGTTGCAATTACCCTTATGAACAAGGATGAATTGTATAGGTGCCAGTGAGTCGTGAGTCAGTGAGCTGGGAGCCAGGGGCGATTTCCTTCCCCTCCACTCCCCTTGTCAGGGGTTTTCTAGGGGCTGCCACCGAGTTCAGTACGAAAAAGGGCTCTTGGCAAGAGAGGAGAGAGCAGGAGGGAGCTGGTGTGCTGCAGGTGGCCTTTGGCTTTCAATTCCACCAGATAAAAATGTCTCTTGGATACTGCTGCTAAGAAAAGAGTGAAGAGACACGATGCCAACCCTGTGGGTGCAGACTGCTCAGTGGTTAAAACAAGAGCAGAACCCACAAAATGGGGTTAACACTGCTGCTGGGAATTGCTTCTTTCTTGAGGATTTACACTGGCCATCGGTCATTTTTACCTCTCATCTTTAAGAAGTTTGTCTGAGCTGCAGAACATCTGCGAGTGGCCGGGCCATGGCAGGGTAGACAAGGGCTCATTGGGGCTGCCCAGTGGCTTTGGTGGGGTCAGTACCCCACCAAAGAGCATCTTCCAGACCTCCATCCTACCAGAGCCCAGCACCTTGCTAACACAGTGGGCAGCTGGCCTGGTAGGGGGGAAAAACCTTTACCACCCTCACCCTCACCTTCCTTTATCCCAGGCACTTTGAGCACTAACTGTAGTCTGCTTGCCAATCCCAGCACAAATCGCAGCGTGTTGCCGTTTGCTCTGGGTCGGATCCTGCAAACAGCTGTATTCGATGTGACCACCCGGGCGAGCCCAGCAGTGTTTACTTGGTACCCTTCCTTTAAGGTCTGGACAGCAGGGCAAAACTGGCGCTCTGGCCCGATCACGGTCGCTGAGTTTTCTGCAGTGAGCTAGGTTATTTTTCACCATCAAATAAAAGATTAATTTACAGCATATTTCTGATATCACTAAGCAAAAGCGGGGTAATTTTATCCGACAGATCCCCGTGTATGTCCTGAATCATTTCTAATGATTTTTGGTGATAAAAGTATATTTGTGCCTTTTTTCTTCCTCCCTGTGGTCACACAGAGAGAGCAGAGTGCCAGAGAGTGAGCTCAAGGCTCATTTCTCCCTCATTAGCGGCAGTTCAGGCTGGTCAAGTGCTTAGTGCTGAGCTAAACACACTCCCCATGACACTGCAAAATGTGCAATGAATCCCAAGAAACCCACATTCTTGTAGGTTTCTGGGCTATCCTACTTCTGAAAACAGCTCTTTTTAGCAAACTGGCTACAGTCTCTCCTAAAGACATGTTTGAAACATGTAATTTTAGCTTGGAAAGCAAATATTTAGCTAGAGATTCAAGAATATACTTCAGATGAAAGGTCTGATGTCTTCCTCTACTGAAAGGATTCCAAGGAAAGTTTGTGAGGAATTTTAATGAAAGCAATTAGATTTGCATGCCACCTGCTGCAGAACAGCCTGAATCAATTCAGTTTCTTGCCTTTTTAGCACTGTTTTATAAAAAGCACAGAGAGGATGTACATATGGGATTCCCCTAGTCTGACTGGCTACTCCCTCTTCAGCAGTGCAATCTTTGCCTATTGCAGCTGGAAACCTTGGGTTATTGCAACAGAGCAGCATCGCCCACAAAAATTTAGCTCCCATCCTAAAAATCGCTCTGTGGCTGCTGCACTTTTTGAGGGGAAATAAAGCAAATGGGCACTTTGAGGACCTTTGCTTGACTTCACAGGTTATTTCTTCTGAGGCTGAGGCCTGTGTGGAGAACCAGAACCATCGTGACTCACATATTCCTCATCAAAATGCTGGGTGCGTGAGAAACGGCTCAGTTGTACAGAGGCTGAACTCTGCCTCCCTACAAAAGACAAATAATGCACACAAGAGGAAGCACTTCAATAATTGATGTGCTTTTCTTTTATCTGCACGTAGGAATGGCAGGAAATCTATGGACATAGCACTAATGGAGAGCATCAGTACGTCGATACCTGCTAATGAGAAAGAAAGAGGGGTGTGTTGGTCCTGAGGTGACTCATCTTTCTTTCTTCCTTATATACCCATGCTACAATGAGAAATGAATGGGGTAAATTCTAGAATTCTGTTCACTGATTATTTTGATAGCAATGCTTTCCTATTTTGGTAGGAATCCAGTGGAGTCCAGAACAACTCACCAATTATTTAGATTTAATCTGCAATCTGACAGCCATTTTTCATGTCTTCTGCACTACTTTCAAAAGGCAAACCAAAACTTTGCTTGCATCACATGTTTCATTTTCCATTCCAAATCGGGGAAACAGTGCAGCCGCACTGGAATCTAACATAAAACAGATTTAAAACCCCAGTGCTTTCACCCTGAAAAGCTGCATAACAAATGCAGGAGTGGAATATTCTTACAGAATAAAACTTCTTGTTGAAAAATTATTGGTGTATCGACCCATTCATATCCAGCTATTTAATGCAAAGATTGTATTCATCAGTTCCCTCTGAAGTGCTTCTCTGGGAGCACAACTATGCAGCTGTTCTTGCTGCATTCTTGTGTAGGCTGAAAGCAGCATAAAAATCCTGATATTAATTTACTGTAACTACAGGCTTCCATTCGCCAGGTTGTTCATTAGTCATATCCTTGGCAAAGAGGTCAGTGGAGGAATGCACATGCTGGATACTAACATTGCAGTTGGCCTAAACTTATATATCATTGTGCACAGGTATATGCACAGGCATGCATAGTCTGTATAGTTTATGCTGTAAACAGGGCTCGTGAGTGTGGCTACAATCCACATGACAGTGTCAGTGATATATGTCACTATAACAACTCTTTGTCATTTTCCTGTCTGGCCACATCCAGAAATAAGGATCAAAGAAGTATCAGGCTTCAGTCTGGCTGCTTATTGGGCTCAGCAAAATGCTATTTCTGCACTAAGGGACGTTGAACATTATTTTAGAAAGTTTCATGCTGTTTTCTTTGCAAGTTTTTTATGGAGTCTTTATTGCTAAAGCTGTATATTCTGAAATAGCTTGTAAAAGAGAAATAACAACAAAGGGATTTATTTGGTTTCAAAATGCCCTGACATGAAAAGCAAGCTGTCAGCAGTGTGCTCCCTGGGATCACTCGGTAACGTGTGTTGTGGTTTGCACCGCCGGCGCTGTTTCGGTGTGTACTCAGACACGTGAGCGCACATCGATGCGCGCGGGAGCCAGGGGATTATGCAAGGTCTTTGCAGAGGGGGAAGATCTGGCTCCGCGTGGTCATTTCTGCCTAGTGTCAGCCGTGCTGCAAGGTGTAAAGAGAGCGCTAGAAATGTGGGTGCTAGAAAGGCTGCCCACACGGGGCCAGGAAAAGGCCTGGAGTAGGAGGAAGATGAGGGCAACGGGGAGAGACGAAGCTGGGAGGAAGACGAGAGGAGCAGGAGAAGCAAACCTTCCCTCGGCGCGTTCTGGAACGTTTCCAAGGAGCTTCCACATCTAAACACCCATAGCTCGGCTCGGCTTTGCCTTTCATTCCTTCCCATAACAAAATTCTTCCTTCCCTCAAATTACGCATCTACAAACAATTTTCCAGAGGAACCCCCCGGGCCCTTTCAGCGGCGAAGGTAATTGAGATACAAGCGACTTGCACACAACCTGCTACGCACGCTCAATATCAGTTTCATCATTAATACCAGATGCCAGCTAAATACTGTCCCTGTCGTCCTGAAATATCCCACCCCCAGCTCAGAGTGCTTAACAAGCAAACATAGGTCAGGCCCAGAAAATCAAAGTCAGCTTTGCTGAAGAGGGGAAATTATGCTGAAACAAAAATAAAAAGATCAGCCCTTCTATAAGGTGAGCAAGAAATACTCATCTTCGTCTCTCTTTTCCCATCTTTAGGCAATGGCTGCAACTGTTTGCTGGCTGGCACAGAGAACTGTGCATGGCGCAGGCCACTCCGCATCGCATCTATAATTTATCTATTTTCGCTCTGCTTTTGCATGCATATTTTGTGCTTGGTTTGTTTTCGGAAAATGGAAGCAGAGAGAGAGGGGAAAAAAACGCAGCGCAGCAGCTTTCTGCTTTCCTAGTCCCACTTTTTAGTCAACATCCTCATCTCGGCACGCGGCCCTCAGAGGCCAGTGAAACACAAGGATTATATTATATATATGTGTGCGCGTGCGTATGTATATTTGCTTATGTGAAAAGCCATGGCAAAAGGGAAGAAAGAAGCTGTTCTCAGTGGTCCATGCCTCTGTTAGGCAGACGCCCTGGCGGAGGATTACTCGAGCATTTCCACAAGAATTTCCTCTCATGCAAACGGCCTAGTGGATGTTTATAGTACGGGTGAAGTCAAGAAGGAAAGCAAAGCAGACCCCGCCGAGCAACGTGCCTCTGTCTGCCTCGCTCTCCGGCGCGGCGAGGTTTGGCGCGCGCAGCCCGGAGCCAGCCGAGCTCCCTGCGGACACGGGCGAGGCTGAGGTAGGAGATGCTCTGCCTTTGCTGTGGGGCTGGGAGCCACTCGGCTCGCCAGCCCGGCGCGTCGGCATCGTGCTGCTCCTCGGGACGCGTCCCACAATGTGCCGCTCGCCAGCAACGGGTCGATACCACCCAGCCTGCTGGCCCGGCCACCACGGCGCGTGGCTACCGGGCACTGCCACCTCGTAGCCCAACACGCTACGTGGTGTTCATGGCGCTGGCAGGACGCTTCTCCCCCCGGGAAAGGCGGCGGGCTCGGCGGCTGCTCTGCAACCCGAGAAGGTGCAGCGGCCGGCGGGACACTGCGGTAAATATAAATCTGGCTCTTACCCACGGGCAGTCCCTCGCAGTCCGACATGGTGCGCGGAGGCCTCCCGGGCGCCGGCGGCCGCGGGGCAGCGGGGCCAGCGCTGGCGCGGGCGGGAGTCGCGCGCTATCTGGCAACCTACAGGCGCCCGCCGGTTGTACTGTACATCCACCCGCCCAGCGCCGCGGCCGCCGGCCCGGCTCTGCCTCCTCATTATGGGATGTAAAGATAAGAATGTGCTTTTGTGCCAAAAGAGTGTGCTATTGGTGGATAAATTTGTTGTCATCCCTCCCCTTCGCAGAGTTTCCTCTTTAATGTCACGGAGGCACATTACCCCGGCTGAAAGGCCGTGCAATATTTATGAAACGGCTTTTAAGAGCCCGGCTCCAAAGGCGTCCCGCAGCCAGGCGCTGAGCGCTGCGCAGGGAAGGGCTGCGGGTGGCACCCAGGCCAGGGCAACTGTGGGATCCGCGGGGCGTTTTGGGGGGTCTCACGCCGCGGCCTCGGGAGCCGCAGCCTGAGCAGGGGCTCGAGCAGACGCGCGGCTGCCCTCACGGGGCTCGGGGGTTCCTTTCGCCCGTGTCCCTGGAGCTGGAGCTATTTAAGGGGGCAGGAAAAAAAGAGTTTTTTCCTTCTCTGCTGTAATCACCAGGAAGCAGCTTGTGACAAAGTTACTAATGGCTGTCTTACTGGATGTTTATACCAGATGATGTCCACACTGTGAACACAGATTGCTCTCTAACTTTTCTTTCTGAGCGCTTAAAATCTGCTGTTTTAATATTGTCTTAATGAAGTATTTGATGGCTACCTGCGTAACTTCTTTTTCATCTCTGGAAAACTTTAAGCAGGATTTGTCTCATATGAAATTTCCAAGCTCTCAGCCTTCAGCTGGGTCCAGCCAGCAAGGCAGGACCTCTGCATACTGCTGTATTCACGAGGCTCCTTAACAAAGCAAAAGGACCATCAAAAACATCATATATTCAGCAGAGAGAGCAGTTCTTTGATACTTGGCAGGTGCCCTCAGCACCATACAGAAATGGTTTGGGGCCACTTATTGCTCCTTTTGCATCATAGTTCAGGTGTTTTCTGCCCTAGTTATGGTCATGAGATACCTAAAACAAAAAAAAAGGCTTAATTTGCCACGAGTCTATCAGGAGCTAAGTGTACTCAGCTCAGGCTGCTTTTATTTAGATGCTTCATTTGAAGCACCCAACTATTGGCCTCAACTCCCTGAGGAGAAGCGTTTTAGCAACTTGCCTGTTACCCAGCACCAAAGCCAGCTAGAGGTTCAAGTCAGGATATCAGGCCAGTGACTAAGAAGCTAAAATAGCTGCAAATGTAATAGTTACATATTGCAGCAAGGTTCCCATCTGGGTCCCTCGTTGCGGACCGATCCCAGAGTCCGTCCAGGGTGGTTCATGTGGGCGCCAGGGCCTCCCTGCACCGGCTCCATATGTGACCTGCCCTTGGCTCGCTGGCCTGAGGATCTGCTGGCATCACCCCACCAGGGACAGCCCTCGCCAGCAGCTGTTCCTCGGGCTGCTGCTGTGGCAACATCAGGATCTTTGCCGATGTAAGTCACACATGGGTGTCAGATCTGGAGGGGAAATAGCAGAGCCTCCAGTTGGGTTCTTTGCCAGGGACGTGGTGCAAGGGGTGAAATGCAAGGCAGCATGTGGATCCAGTCCATCCTTCTGCTGCTCAGAGGCTTGAGAAATGGCCTCTAGGTGATGTGGAAGATAGACACACATGTAGAAAGCTGCTGTTAATGCCAGTGAAAATCTGGGAAGGAAAGGGGGCCTGAACTAGGCTGCAGGACTGCTTTATTCCAGCAGGCAAGCCTTGCCTGCCTTGTGCTTTCTGGAATGGCACAAGCAGCCTCTTTAGCACCTGAGCCTGGAGTACAATTTCACCGCAGAGACGGATTGCTCAGATGTATGTGCGAGCTGAAGCTTTCTGAGCTCGACCCGGCACAAGTGCAGGCCTCCTCTTTTGCAAGCACTTATGTGCCAGTGCAGCTTCAGGCCCCAGCAAAGTTCCTGGAACTACTCACAGCAATAAAGTTAAATATAGGCCAGTAATAAAGCTAAATGCTTAAGTATCTGCAGGATCAAGGACTCATGATTTTGGCTTACGTTCATGGGGCAAATAGCTGCAGCTGGTTTTGATGTTACCTTCTCCCAGCTGTGCTCTGGTGCAGCTCTGCTGAAGCTTCGAGTCCTCAAGCAAAGCTGGACAAGTGCCTGAGTCGAGATCTCGCCAGATCACAGTTTGGTGTCTGAGCTCAAGCTCATCTTCCTCAGCAGTTTAAGAAACCTGTGCCTCTGTCACCCGACTCGTGTTGTCCTTGGCCAAGTCTGCTACAGGGGACAAAGAGGCAGCAGAGAAGCGAGAAGACTGAGAGCAAGACAGAAACATCTTAAACTATTACAGCAACGCTGGCAAGAGCTTGTTCATCAGAGCCATTGATAGCATTTGGCACCCACCTTCTACTGAGCGTTGGGAGAGCTCTTCAGAGCAATACTGAAGCATGAAATTATCCACAGGGTCATAAATTGAACAATTTAGGCCTATTTCTTGTCTTGATAGTAGCAAAACTTATTTTTAATGAGGATTATTTCAATTTAAAACTCAGTTTTTATCTCTGGATATTTTGGTTGTAAAGATGACTTTTTATGGAGTCATAAGACTTTTTTTTTTAAGCATACAACTGTATGCTTAATTTTCTCTGTTTCTCAGACTGAACAGACCCATACTTGCTCCTGGCAAGAGGCCAACCCTTGGAAAATTTATGTCTGAAAGCAGAAAGTTTGTGGAATTTATGAATAGAGCTGGTGTCTGTCATGGCAAAAAATGAAAAAGCCAAGAACTGAACTAAATAAAAAAAGATGAGAAATAGTATACGTAAAGCACGGAATTGTAATAAGCATTAAACTAATGTAAGAACTGTGTTAAATACCTGTCAATAATTGCTGCCACTCGGATCTCAAGATGATTCAGAAGAGTGCTCATCTCTCAACACTCTATGAAAACCGGTCACTATTCTGCCCACAGTATACTACTCCCCAGCATAGATATTCTTCTGCATATGATAAATAATACGAATTAAATAGTAAATTTAATTCATGGAGGAAAGCATTGCAATATTTCCTAAAGAAGATTTGCCTGGACTCATGTGATCTTCTGTGGCAGCCTGTTGCATAAACCTTACATGTCTTTAAATATGTGAAGGAAGTGGAGAACAAAGTGGCAGAGCATGTACAGAATACGTGATTTCATGTTCCACCAAAAAAATAGGCTTTGTGTTTGATGTTGCTTAAAGGAAATCACAAAGCTTTCCTCAACAGTGTTTTATCTGATCAAACTTTTTTTTTTTTTTTTTTTTTTTTTTTAATATCAAAAGCTAGGCTTGCCATATCAATCTCTGGAATTTTCCATGAAGAAGCAGGAATTTAGTGCTTGCTGTACGTGCCGTGAACGCCGCAGGTAACCTCTGCATGCAGAAAGTGTATGCTGGGCATAAGGCTTTTCACATGTCCAAAGCCTGGTGAGCTAATATGCCTGGGAAATGAGGAGACGTATGGGAAAGCCCGGGAGCAGGACACCTGTGACACTGCAAGTACCCGGCTGCTTTAATGTCCGAGTCCTACAGACTTCTAGTAAGATTTATGGCCAAGGAGTGAAGAGCGGACAGATGTTTTCACAAACTCTATCCATCACCAAAATGAGTAAGATACAGAGTGGAGCTCAGCTGCTTATCTCATGTGTTTCTGCGGCTTGCTAGGGTTCTGATCTAAGTGCCTAAATACCTTTAAGATTCTGGTCTTTAAGACCTTAAATCTCCTGCTGGTCACGGCAGCTTTGCCACCAGCCCCTAGGGCCTCACGGACTCTGCCCGTCCCCCCTGTGTGTTGCTCTCCCAGCAGAGGAAAACGCAGAGAACAGGAGCCCTTCCTGCAGTTAACCGAGTCGGATCTGATTACCAAATCCTCAATTTTCCGTGGGATTGAAGCAGGATTCTTCCTGCCCTGTTTGGCAGGCGCTCCTATCTCCCATCAGCGGGATTGCCACGCAGCTCAGACGGAAAACGACGGGAAAGCGTGGCTCCCTCCTAATGTATGCAAATTCCGATGGATTCTTTCCATGCTGTGTGAAGAGATTTCTGCGTATTGGATATGGGCAGCTGAGGGAGAAGGGGGGAAGGGAGGGAGAGGGCCCTCGGATGGAGAAGAAACCACTGGCTGAAAGATGCACGCGGACAGCACAGCGGTGGGCATGGGGCAAACTGCCTGCCCCAGCATTCCTGCCAACCCATGTCCAGAAAAATCAGAGCTGGAGCACCTGCCATCACCGCAGCAGCAACACACGGGCTGTTCACTGCAGAAACAGCACAGAAACAGCCAGCAAGCTGCTGCCTAGGCAGGTTTGCACCTCTGCTCTGCCGCGAGCTTTCCACACACAAAGCAAAGGCGTTCGGGCTGAACGTCAAGCGCCTAGAAAGCCCCAGTAATTGAGATTTCATTTCATGATGGCTTTCTGACACCTTCCTTTCACATTTCATCTTGATGGGCTGGCAGTAACGTAGGTTCAGGATGAGCTGGTGCCCTGACAGCATCTCCTGCCGGTGCAGCCACTGAGGGCAGGAGGATGGAGCTGACAGCATGGACAGCGGGCTGGAAACAACAGGCAGATACAA